CTCTCTTCTTTTCATCTTCTAAACACTTACTGACTTAATCATCGGAGTGGTTATCCCTTGATTCACCCCGGGGCTAGCTAATCTCTTTTATGTGTGTAGGTTCTCATATGGCTGATAGGAGCAAAGCGGGTTATATACTCGAGCTTTGGATCTTGGAGTTGGGTCATCGGATCTTTGGAGAAACAATTGGAGCTAGGAGGGGAGCTACATAATAGCTTCTATCGCCTAAAGTTCCTTACATCTTCCAATTTCAAAAATAAAATGCCTGAAAATCAGAATACACCGATAGCTGAAAAAATAATAAACCAAAGAGTAAGAGTAGGGGATAGAATGCCTGATCCAGAAATTCAGATTGAAGACGAAACTCACACTCTAGAGGGTAACTAGTTTCATATGCCGCTAACCCTAGCAGGACAGGCTGGGACGGATGTAGATCCTATGGCTGGGTTTACATCAGAAAAACTAGAAACGGCGGCAAGAGTGATGACCGTCATGAGTAGAAAAAGGAAGGAAGCGGGGGCAACCCAAGATGGAGGAGGGGTGCCGATTATAACTCATGACAGTCAGTTCTACCAGGCTGGAGGTTCACAAAGACACCGACATGAAAGGTCACCGATAAGATCACAGCAGACTCCAAGAGAATCAGAAGTTCAATCCTCAGGTCCATATGAAAGTACAGGGACTTATCAGCAAGGAGTGGTGCGAACAGTAGGCCAGTTGAGGGCATCGCTGTTTGGGCAGAGTATCCTTGATCAACTAATGGAAAAAATCAAAATGCCGACATGTCGGTATGATGGAAAGGGAGATCCTGGTAGATATATAACCTCATATGAAGGGAATATGATTTTATATACCAATTCTAATGTCGTATGGTGTTAAGTGTTCCTGACTACTCTGGTTGGGGCAACGACAGATTGGTTCAATAATCTCGGAAATGGAACAATTCATAACTTCCAACAATTGGTTGAAATATTTGTGGGACAATATGTTAGTAACAGTGTCCGACAGAGATCCTCAGGGGAGTTGATGGTTATTAGTCAAAAAGCAGATGAGTCTCTAAGGGACTATATAAGGAGATTTATTAATGAAGCCAATACAATCTCAAAGTTACAACAGGAGATAGCAGTCATGGCGCTAATGAATGGTCTGAATGACTCAGAATTTAAAAGGTACTTAACTAGGAAGAATCAGCCAACATTAGCTGCGGCGTTCAACAAAGCTCATGGCTATATAAAGAGCGAAGAATTGATGAAAACAAGCAGTCGGGTTAGTTCCACCGATAGGATTCACCTGATTTCGGAAGGAGGATCTTCGGGAAGTGGGAGGCCGAGAAATCCAGCCCCAGAAAGGGGAGGAGGCCGCCAGGAAGTTATAGGAACTAAAGCGCCAATGCGGTATAATTCGTATACACCGCTAAATGCACCAAGGGCTGCAATATATTTTATAAACCAGAATCGAGAAGGATGGGTAAGACCCATGCCGATGAAAGCAAAAGGAAGGGATACCAAGAAGTATTGTATGTTTTACTGAGATGTGGGGCATTATACTGAAGATTGTGTACAACTGAAATATAATATTGAAGAATTAATAAGAAGGGGACATCTCGCTCAATACCGGCTGCATTCGGGGGGAAGCCAACCACCATTGTATCGGCAGCCAAAGCGTTAGCAGATAGAAGCCAGGCCAAAGAAGCAAGGGCAAGTAAGCCGACAAGGAGATAGCGGGCAACCACCATCGTCCACTGGAAAAAGAGTTGATGTAATAACCGGTGGACCAGTTCACGGAGGAACGATAAGTGGAGCACAAAAGCACCTATCAGAACATCGGCACATTGTTAATGCATTAGATGTTAATGATCGCCCGTGGCCGTCTCAGATCCCAGATGTAATGTTTACAAAAGAAGATGCAAAGGGAATAGTTTTTCCCCATGACGATCCCCTAGTCCTGATAATAAAAATAAACGGGGCCGATGTGAAGAGGAATTAGTTGATGGGGGAAGTTCAGCAAATGTTTTGTTCATGAAGGCGTTCAATGAGTTGATGATAGGCCAACAATAGCTAATGTAGTGTCTTACCTAGTGGTTGGGTTTAACGGCTCGACAGTAAGGCCAGAAGGGAGTGAAGGGGCCTTTTGCTCTTGAGTATCGGCCCTAGAACGCTTAAAAGTTGGTTCGTCCTTCATTCTTGTTGAAACGGCAGCGACACTACCACCGCTTCTATTACCTAGTGAAGTAAGACACCGATTTCTTCTTACGTTCTCATCATCCATCTCCTCTACTCTTTTTTTAGGATTACGGGTAGGGGCACGTGAACAAAAAGAAGAAATGTTTCCAAAGCTGGTCTAGGAGATGGGGGACAGCGGGAAATCACCCTTTTGCCGTCAGATGATAAGCCGAGAGCTTCCTTGTCTAGGTTCTTTGGACCTACATATACCGAGAATCGTTAATAAATACAAAGGCTGATGAGTGTGCAATAATAATAATAATATATATATATATATATATATATATATATATATATATATATATTAATAGTAGCAAAGTGTAAGCAACTAAAGGACAATAATAATATGTAAGGCTAGTACCATAGGATCAGTCCATCATAGACCAATATACGATAGCGGTGCGTTGCTCAAAATATACTTAACATTTGGCACCCACACTTTGGGAACAACCTGAGTCTTTCCCCAGCCGACATTTACCCTAACGACATCAAAATAATCAAAGGCCTTTTGCCCTTGGGGGCCAAGATCTCTTTTGGCAATATGACCGAAACGAGGATGAGGCCAAAAGAAAGTTTTCCGGATAGGAAAATATTCTGGAACACTCATAAAAAAGAATTTATCCTGCCAGCCTTTGCAGCTTGTCAATTTCGGATATATACAGTAAATTTCTGGGAGGCTGTATACAATGACCACCAACCTTCCGATTGTCCATCACGTTTCAAGGTTATTAACCTCCTAAATAAATTCAACATTAATGGGAAATTTTTAAATAACAAAACCCAGGCAAGTGCAGCAACAACACGAATAGTAGGAGGAGTAACTACCTAGCATACATTCCAAGCCCTAAAATTTTAGCAATAAAGGGATTAAGGGGAAATCGGAGGCCAAATTCAAAGTGTTTGGCGTAGATAGCAACATGACCATCAGGACAATCAAGAACGGTAGCAGAGGGTGGCGGAAGAGTTAACTCATACCCCTCTGGTAGACGATAGAATCTTTTTTCTTTTCGGTAGTAATCCTTTTCCTCGGCCAATTGTAGCCAACTACCGCTAACACTAGCTTCAGCAACCAAACTGTTAGAAGGCAAAATAAGAGGTTGCCGATAATCAGCCTCATCGGTCTCAGAATTATACTCCTCGTCCAAGATTTCCTCATTCGTCACTTGAGCCATGTGGTCAATCATCTCAGATCTTTCAGGGATTTCGACATTGTCACCCTGGTTTACCTCTTCTTCGCTATCGTCTTCATCGTTTAATACAGATTTAACAGCAGAATCGTGAACATGAGATTTTGAACCCTTTTCGAACTCAGAGCTTGAAGAACTTATAACATGTGCCTGCCCAGGCCTCTTGTTGGGCTCAGGCCTAGAACTTGGTTCAAACCTAGCACTAGGCTCTGCTGTATCATCTGTAGCCTGAGGCTGATAACCAGTTGACTTAGCTCTTGGCATAGTTGAAGTTTTAATTTGAATATTTCCAACACTGGTTCCGTATTGATCAAAATCAGGTTTGTCGGCAAAGCTTCGTAAATGATATCGGACACTCACGGGTTCAATATCAAGAATTTCAATGTCCTCAGGAATATTAGGGTTCGTAGGGCGTCGTGCCCTTTCACAATCTGCTAATACGAACTCCTTTTGCTCTTTCTCTGATAACGGCTGAAAAGGGTCGTCAATATTATCAGATAGAGATGAAGTTCCCCTTTTATTATGGCCGAGATCTTTTCCCAATGACTATCTAATAAGACGACGCCTAACAGTGCAAAGAGTAGGTTGTTCTTCCTCGACACTACTATTGGACATCTAATAAACCAACTAAGAAACTAAAAAATAGACAGCAGCAAATGTATTCTAAAACATGCAAATTGAAATTGAAATCTTTAAAATACATTAAACTACTCGATTGCAGCAACAGCGCAAAGAAGAATTGCTTGCGCTTCAACAAAACGACAAGTCCGGCAAAACCCAATTGCTTCCACAAGTTGCGACGATCGAATAAAGATTGCGGTTTTCTCTCAGAAAAATTGCTTTAAAAAAAACTAATTTTTTATGAGAAAAGCGTGAAAATGTGAAGTAAAAAAAAATAAGGGGTTAAAAAGGAAGTTGAAAAGGTAACGTTTGACATGACACACTGTCAGAAATCCAACGGCCAAAGTAACTTGGGAATTTGAAAAATAATTCGTCGGATTAGCGACACGTGACCTATATTTATATAATTTTCCCGCTCAAAAGTTTAAGTGGCAGATATACAAACATTCAACTGCCAACCCTGTATTTAAAGTAAACCTTGTTTGCTATCGGCAAACAAGGTTACTTGGGGGGAAAAACGGAGTTTTTTCGCTCCCACCCAAATTGTATTTAAAGTAAACCTTGTTTGCTAAGTGCAAATAAGGTTACTTGGGGGGGAAAACAGAGTTTTTTCTCTCCCACCCAAATTGTATTTAAAGTAAATCTTGTTTGCTAACGGCAAACAAGGTTACTTGGGGGGAAAACGGAGTTTTTTCGCTCCCACCCAAATTATATTTAAAGTAAACCGTGTTTGCTAACGACAAACAAGGTTACTTGGGTGGGAAAACGGAGTTTTTTCGCTCCCACCCAAATTGTATTTAAAGTAAACCTTGTTTGCTAACGGCAAACAAGGTTACTTGGGGAGAAAAACGGAGTTTTTTCGCTCCCACCCAAATTATATTTATAGTAAACCTTGTTTGCTAATGGCAAACAAGGTTACTTGGGGGGGGGGACGGAGTTTTTTCGCACCCACCCAATTTATATATAAAGTATGTCAAGTAAACCTTGTTTGCTAACGGCAAATAAGGTTACTTGAGGGAAAAACGGAGATTTTTCGCCAATACCTTTCGAATGTTCATTTTCTATCGGTAATAATTTACATACCCATGATATTTACTTTCCACATAAAACACAATATACAAGAAGTCATCCTAAATATTCACGTACACCAATAACAAAAAAAAATGCTCAACAAAGAGCAAGAAAAAAGTGTAATAAAAATCTTAAAAAACATTTGCAAATATACAATACATCAAAGTGAGAACGTCAATTGTATATTCAACGTACTCACTTGGGGGGCTAGTTGTATGGGTAGATATTTACATTAGACAGATGTTGTATGGTAGGCCGATATCTTACTTGGATCCGGTTCATCAGCTATTCTGGTTCATATCGGCATTTATGGAATGAGTGTGCATATTGGCTTGTCGACGACTGACACGTGTCGTCCTCAAATTTGACACGTGGCGAAAATTACTTTGCATATTACGCAGCCACCTGTCACTTAATCAAGCTATAAATAATCAGGTTTTATCTCATAAGAAAGGTAGCATTTATTACACACACTCTCTCTCTTTTTTCTCTCTCTAAATTCTCTCTCTTCTTTTCATCTTCTAAACATTTACTGACTTAATCATCGGAGTAGTTATCCCTGGATTCACCCGGGGCTAACTAATCTCTTTTCTGTGTGTAGGTTCTCATCTTGCCGATAGGAGCAAAGCGGGTTATATACTCGAGCTTTGGATCTTGGAGTTGGGTCATCGGATCTTTGCAGACACAGTATTATACTATTATTATTCATCACTCCATCTACCATACTGATACTGAATATATTTATTTAAAGCAACATCTTTAATTAATCCCGGACTCCTACAGTGAAATGGTTAAACGTGATTCATCAACGGAATCTAAGTTTTCCATTAAACAATCAAAGAATATATTTTTAAAAATTACAAACTAAACTTTAATAAAAGATACACGTTGCTTTATTCTTTAAAAATGCTATAAAAACGTGAGTATGTAAACTACAAAACTATACACACAAATACATTCTCAAATTTCTCATTTCTGAACTAACTAAAACTCGAAAGTGTATTGTGTTTATAGGCTTATAGCCACCTTGGCGTAAGCCCCGAATCGAGTACGAGCGACCCCCATGGACGACTATGATAATTTCAGTAGCTTCTATTCGCTATTTGATGATTCTGCTCTCTTCAAACAGATTGAGCAGCTTCACCAACCTGTTGCTGATCATATTTACATCATACCTCTGTATAATCTTATTGAGAATATGCTCCGGCTCAGTAATGCTTCCTATACTGTAACACCGTTTTTAGAGGTATCACGTTTATATTATAACTAATTGTTTTTCTAAATTTTGTAGGAATACATCAAATTTGCATGTTTATTACTGATATCTGTTTCTGATCTTCGTATAGGATTATCCGGAGGTCCGAGTTTTTGACGACATTAATCGTTATCTCCATTCATAATTGAAAGGATTTCTGCTGAGGTACCCTTTTTTTTTTTCTTTTTTTTTTTTGGGTGGAAAGGGGAGATAATAAACAAAAGTTAGGAGACTTTTTAATATGATTGAACTCTATTTAAATATGATGATTGAACTCTAAACTACCTTATATATGTAATACAAGCTTTTTTTTTCCTTTTTTAAAAAAAAAAAAATTTATATAGGCAATGTGTGCTAATTTAAGTAATTAACAATTTTTTTTTTTTGAAACAAAGTAATTAACATTATTAGTTTAAAACAATATAATAATTAAATATCTAAATTTAATGTGTTAAAATAAAGATACTGATGATTGAATATATTAGAAAGTTTAAAGTAAAACAATATTAATACATGCAATTATAGTAATGTGATGTTATTCAATTATCATGGAGTTTATATGTAGTTAGTAGTAATAATTTTAGAAATTGAGTAATTAATATTAAATTTGTAGTCTTGTAGATGAGAAGATTTATCAATAAAGAATGTAATCTTGTTGTAATAAGGAAAATTTTGAATGAACTGATTATAAGATTGATTTGTTAAAATCACTAATTTATACTTCCATAGTACTGTATAATTTTGAAGTATTGATTCAAAATTGTGTTATAGTCTAAGGGGAGGACAAAAATTTTTCTAGGCTGACACCACATAATAGAAGTGAATTCACACTAGGTTACGTACTAGCTCTACACGCGCTTAATTACCTATCTGTGACGACTAAATAAGAAAACATCCAATAATTGTGCTTAATTTAAAATACAAAGCTAGTAGATTGCAAGGGAAAAATCATATAATATAATTAAAGCAGAAAAATGGATTGGAGATTAATGTAAAAGATCAAAGTAAGCCGCCTAAAGTTTATACTGTCTTTAATCTTACAAGATTCTCATATAAAATCGTCATAGATTTTCATTTTTCGGACGAAAGGTTAAAATAAATATATAGTTAATCATGTCTAAACATGTGATAATAATTTTAATTTTATTCATGTGACTTTGGTGATACATTCTCGTTAGATATTGTTAATCATGTCTAAACAATGTCACAATGTGTTGTTTTTTAATTTTGTCATTTTACTTTATCTTGTTTTCAAAATAATATTTATATTTTGCAACTCAGAGTATTAATTATTTTATCCACTTTTCCAATAGCTTGATTAAAATCTTCTCAAATACTGCACCAACATTATTTTAAATCTAAGCAATTTTTGAAGTTCAAATGTTAGACACTAACATTATGTACATACACTTTATCCTTTCTTCTAATATTTCATCACATCGTAGGGAACAAAGATTTTTTGTTGTGGGAAAAAGAAAGAGAGAGAAGAAAAAAAAAATGTGATACATTGCATAAATTAGTAGAGGTTTTGACAATAATAACCACCAACAATTGTTGGTGTTTTTAGTAATAACCACCATCAATTTTTTTATTTAAATTTATCACCTTTTTTTTTTTCAAATCAATAAGACTTTCCAACACTTCTTGGTGGGAAATTTTACAATTTTCATAAAATGTAGGTGGTAAAATTTAGTGTTTTGGAAAACCGTGGGTGGTAAATTTTAAAGAATCACCCACAATTGATGGTGGTTATTGTAAAAAAAAATCCTAATTTAAAGCTAAGAAACAAGCAAGTGTTTAAAAGTAAGGATTTTTTGAATATTTGCCATGCAAATGAAGTAGGTATTTGTTTGCCTAAATGGGTATGGTGAAGTATTTGTTTAACATTCTTAAAAGGCAAAGACAAGTGCTAAACTATTAATAGAAGGGAGGAAATTAATCTATCCACACAATTAGTTAATGGTGTAGCCACTTTGCATAAAAGTTTAATTTCTAATTAAGCAACTAGGGCTACGCAATGATCTGATGGGTTACTTTGTGATTGAGGGGTTATTTGTAATGGCGAAATGAAATTACTTTTATAAACAAGTTGAATTAATTCGTTCATTTAATTGCCCCACTTTAATTTAGTTAAAGAAATTTGCTATCATAAAACATTTTTATATCGTGGTCAGTTGGTCAAAGGTGACATTTTTCTTGAACTAGTAAGGGTGGTTTGGTTGGATTTGGAATGGAGTTAGAATCCATTCCATCCAGTTTTTAATTTGGTTGAGTTTATTAGTAATGGAATCTCATATTCAAGAGACTCTAACTCTATCCCATACATGGATTCCCAATTCATTCTATTAATGAAGAATACAACCCATTCCACATTAAACCAAACAACTTTAAACTAGTATCGGTTTTAGAATCAACACCTTTCTAGTATGAAATATAATGAAACAACCACCCTCGTATTATATAGAAACATCCTGATTTAAAGACATACATACACAATATGTCAATATGTCGACTGTTTTCTGAATACAACACCTAAAAAACTGGCGCAGATTCAGTTAAATAGCGAGGTCAGTAACAGCAGCGTACACGATACAACCCTCAAAGTGTTGAAGATTTTGCAGAACTTTTCTTGGGATGTCAAGGTGGTGATCGCAGTCGCAGCAGCTGCTTTGATTTGTGGATCCTCATGGCTCCGCGATCAACTTAAAGATTCAAACTCCCTTGCAATTGCACTGACACGATTCAGGGAACAGCTAAGGGTGGATGAAGGCGCTGACAAAAACCAGTTTGATGCTACTGTTAAATTAATAACAGAAGCATTAGAAGCCACCAAGTGCATTCTTGATTTTGGAGAGCTAGCAAATATAACTAATATCCAAGATCCTGATGCCGAGAAAGAGGTCAAGGATGTAATGAGGGATTTTCCTATAGCTGCTTATTTGGTAATAAGAAGTGCGGTTCTTGCTGCAGCACATACGGCAAACATGTCATATGAGTAAGTAAACTCACTATGCAGTTATACGATGTGTAATGGAAGAATATAATCAAGAATATGAGGTTTTCTCATAGATTTTTTCTTTTGTTTTTGCCAGTTTAATATCAGCCACAGCTCAATTGAAAAAGCTTGAAAAGATCAGCTGTATGCTCAAGACAGGAAATTCTAAATTGGAAACTCTATTCATGATTTTACAGTGACCGGAGATGCACTCATCAAGTTCTTTAAAGATGATTGGAACTTTCATGGTAAGCCTATGGTTGTAGTGCTAGATCCTCGGGGAAAAATTGTGAACTCAAATGCTATCCATATGATGTGGATCTGGAAAAATCAAGCTTTCCCGTTTAATTGCGCAAGGGAGGAGGTGCTTTGGGAGCAGGAAACATGGAGTCTTGAACTGCTTGTTGATGCTATTGATCAAAATATTCTGCAATGGGTATTTTTCGCTCACTATTTTACAAAACTTTATGAAAATTTTAGATTCTCTCAAGTAAGATTGCATAACTGATCCTCATCGATTGAATGTTGCTTATCAGATCAGAGAAAAAAGTACATTCTCTTGTATGGAGGCGACGACCTGGAATGGATCAGACAATTCACTAATGAGGCACGAGCTGTAGCGCGAACCCTGCGAATTCCTCTTGAAATGGTCTATGTTGGCGGGAGCCATAACAAGGAGAACGTGCAGAGGATTTGTGATTCTATAATAATGGAGCAGCTGAGCCACTGCTGGCAAGAACAGGACTCTGTTTGGTATTTCTGGACAAGAATCGAGAGCATGATCTACTCGAAAATCCAACTAGGTAACCTTTATGACCATGCTGATACAATATGGCAAGAGATACAAAAGCTCCATAGTCATGACAAATCACACAGCGGATGGGTAGTGCTAGCCAAAGGCTCGAGAATTGTTGTCCACGGCCAAGGTAAGGTGGCCATGAATACCCTTCAAGAGTTGGAGGAGTGGAAGAAACTAGCTATAACAGACGGATTTGATGTGGGGTTCGGAAATCATTACATGAAGCTTCATATGGAGGAATATCCATGTCATAGGATTCAGTTTCCCTCTGGTATGAGAATTCCAAGAAGTATGCCATGCCCTGATTGTCGTAGCCCTATGCATATAAATAAATCTTTCCTCTGCTGCCATGAAGATCACATTGCTGAAGCTGCCGATGTTCTCGCTGCTGCAACTGATCAGGTTGATCAATATGAGGCCTAAATATATAAAATATTTAGGGATTTTTAACTTTTCTTAAATTTATATACTACGTGTGAGCATTACTATAATAAATCCCTTAGAGGAGATGTGATACATTTGCATTGATATATATATATATATATATATATATATATCATGTTATTGCAAGTGGGTTAGTTCAATTGTGTAGTTGAATTTCATGTGTTAATTTGGAAAAAAATTGGAATTCAAGGGGGTGGCAGGTCAGTGGCTGGCGTCAAAGAGGTTTGGCAGGGTGACATTTGGAAAAAAAAAAAAACCATTCAATTGGTCAACGATAATTAAGAATGAAGAAAGTAAACAACCCTAGAGTTGAGATTATTTCAAATTAATCCAAAGTTAAGATTATCAGAAGAAAATAAAACAAAATTGGAATTATTAATATCAAATTTTCCTTTTATTTTTTCCCAAATGTACTTGAAAACCTTTTTTAACCTATGATGTTCTCCTGTGGGCCTAATAAGACTATTTATGGGGTTTGACTTTGTTTTGATCTTTCTGGTTAAAATTATGCTAAAGTTTATTTATATTAGCTAGATATTACTATATTAAAAAAAAAAAAAAAAAAAAAATAGGTTAACTAAAAAGATAATTTTCGAAATTATTATTCAAACAAAATCCAATGAACCAACAAACTTGGTCAAATTACTTATAATAAATAGATACTACCTTTACAGATTATGTGCAACTTTCATACTTGTATACTCTTTGAGAGATATAATAAAATTTCAAAGTTACACATAATATGTAATGAAGGTAGTTTTTTTTTTTTTTTTTTTTTTTTTTTATTATAACCATAGAAAAGAGAGGAAAAATAGAGGAATATCAATTATACAATACACTCGAGAACAAGCCCAGTCAAAACTTGGTTAAAACTTGTTCATTATTAAATAAATGACTTTATTCAAAGAATTTAATATTGTTAAATAAACGAGCTCAACTCAATTAATGACTGTTTGCTCTACTTGTTTAAGTTGGCTTACAACTCGTTTATGTTGTATTAGATAAGATTTTTCGTTTATCAATTTGTTTTCACTCTTTCAAATGCTCAAATTGTAAAAGGAAAATTTATCAATTGCTTCTATTTAATGTTTATATTTTGCAAATTGCAGCCAATTAAAAAAATATTGCAAATTGCAACCATCCAAAAGTACTAATGACTTATTGTATGCCACCCAAATCAATTTTTTCCTCAATTAACGTGGTGAAAATTTTTGTGTAAAGGTTTTAGGGGATATTTTTTTATCCGTTTAAGATCCGAATTTAGCTCGGAATTGGCAAACATATATTGTAAGTTATTATTGATTTCAACTAGTTTGTGCTAGTGCATTTAAATATTTAATTGGGTGATAATTTTTTATACTGGATTTATATAGAGTCAAGCAAAAATATTTGAAAATACGAAAATTTAATAATCTGATCCGCAACTGATCCAAAAATTATGGATATCCGATGCAAAAAATTTGAATATTGGATTAGACATCGAATATCCAAATTTTCGATTTCGGATATCTGATATTTGAAAAATATCACTTATTATCATATTGTACTCATTACTAATTTTTTTAGAAAGTCTTATAGTGCCGAACCCTGATAGGCCTAAGATTAATAGGCTCAAAGTAAAAACAAAGGAAAGTTTTTTTTTTATATTTTTTTGTGAAAAGTTAAAACAGAGGAAGTTAACCCACTGTATTTAGAGAACGACTTTTCCTTCTAGCTCTAAAACAACAGGAGAAAACCAATATCATCATATTGTGAGAAGAGGATTTGTTGGGGCTTGCAGCAGACTCCACTGGGATCAACTGTAAGTGGCACCAACGTACTTTCACACGATGACACTTGATCGACCATACCTATTGTCAAATATTCTTGCGTCAAATTTGGACTTGTTTAACACTTTTCATGTCCTTTTCACTGGAGGGGTGACTAATCTACATCGGTGTATAAACTTCTTGATTTTCAACAATATCCTTCTGCATTGTACAATTGAGTACTCGGATGTTAATTAAATCCTTCCTAGAGGAGTAGTAGTAGACTAGTAGTGTAGTGTTCATCCCTTAGAAATCGCTCCATACATTGTTGGAGTGAAATGCAAATAGGAATAATCAATACGGTTTTGGTTACAAAAATGATAACTTGACCCTGTATGATTTGACTACTTCTTGGATGACGATTTTAGTATCGTTAAATCAAAGTAGCCAACTCCAGGGTGCTATGATAGGCAAGCATTCAACTTGCTATTTGGACTAGAGCAAAATCATGTCGCTACAATGACTAATCAAAATGCCATCCAGGATGAAGCTTTTGACCCAAATATATTAATCAACCCTTCTAATGAAACCTTGGAGCATGGATGGAGGAAATCTTTCATATGGACCAATCACAAAGGCGATAGGCTGGTAATCGTCACAGGCGAAGGGAAGATGTTTTAAGAATTGGACGACGAATCTATTATAGACTCTAGGGAAGCTGAAAATTTAGGCCTTGTGGCCATTACTGAGTTTTTATTTTCTAGTTCTAAGGATGAAGATCCCAAAAAGGATTCTTCTCTTAATGTACTTTCTTTTGATTCTAATAATATGAGCTCTATCTCCGAGTATATGCCTTCTTTTGAATCTTTTGAATGCTATAATAATCAATCTAATGAAGATGATAACATTAATAAGTTGGTTGAACTAATGAATGAACGAGAACAAAAGAACCTTATCATTGAAGAAACTGAAACAATCAATATGGGAACTAATGAAAACAAAAGAGAAGTCAAAATTGGCTTAACTCTAAATCCGGAAGAGCGATCGACCCTCATATCGACGCTCAAAGAATTCAAACACGTGTTTGCTTGGTCATACAAGGACATGCCTGGAATAGATAGGGAAATCGCGGAATATACCATTCCCTTGAACCCTACCTCTAAACCAGTAAAACAAAAACTTCGACGAATGAAAACTAACGTCGCACTAAAAATAAAAGAAGAAGTACAAAAACAATTGGACGCAGGTTTCATTCGCGTATGTAATTACCCATAATGGGTAGCGAACATCGTCCCAGTCCCTTAAAAGGATGGACGAGTTTGCATGTGTGTCGACTTTAGGGACCTTAATAAGGCTAGCCCTAAAGACGATTTTCCTCTACCACATATTGATATATTGGTAGATAACACGGCTGAACATGCGATGTTATCCTTTAAGGATGGATACGCAGGTTACAACCAAATTTTAACGGCAAAAGAAGACGAAGAAAAGACATGCTTTATTACCCCTTGGGGGACGTATTGCTATACAGTCATGCCATTTGGTTTAAAAATTGCAGGAGCTACATACCAAAGAACGACTACGACTCTCTTGCATGATATGATGCATAAAGAAATAGAAGTGTATGTGGATGATATGATCGTAAAGTCCAAAGATAGAATGATACATATAAAAGCTTTACGCAAATTTTTCACTCGCATAAAAGATTATAACATGCGATTAAATTCACAAAAATGCGCCTTCGGGGTAACTTCTGGCAAGTTACTCGGATACGTAGTAAGCACTCGCGGTATTGAGATTGATCCCTCTAAAATAAAGGCAATTGTTGACATGCCTCCCCCTCAAACAGAAAAAGAAATTAGGAGGTTCCTTGGCAAATTGCAATACATTAGTCAATTTATTAACAAATTGACTATGACTTGTAAGCCAATATTCAAAAAATTGATAAAAAGAAGGAAAAACATGAAAGGGACGATCAATGCCAAAAGGCCTTTGAGAAAATCAAAGATTATATCAAAAGTCCACCAATTTTAGCACCACCAGTACCCAAACTACCTTTTAGGCTATACATAACAATTACAGACACGACCACAGGAGCCATGTTAGCACAAGAGGTAGAAAAGGTCGAGCGTGCAATATATTACATAAGTAAAAAATTCATCCAATATGAAACAAAATATAGCACTCTAGAAAAGGCGAGTCTAGCATTAGTGTGGGCAACTAAAAAATTACGACATTATATGCTACCACACACCACTCATGTGATTTCTCAACAAAATCCGATAAAGTATTTGTTTGAACAACCACCTATACAAGGAAGAATATCCAAATGGTTGGTGATGTAAGCCGAATTTGAGTTAAAATATATTCTAGAAAAATTAATGAAAGGAAAAGTAATTTCCGACTTTCTGGCTCAACATCCAATTCAAACAAGTCATGCAAAAACTACTCATCTTCCGGATGAAGAGATTCTCATGACACAAGATGACAAATGGGTAATGTACTTCGACGGTGCATCCAACCAAAAAGGATGTGGCGTAGGAGTTTTACTCAAAAAATCCAGAGGGAACACATACTCCAACCTGTGTAAAATTAGACTTTGAGGTTACTAATAATGCCGCGGAATGTGAAGCGTGCATTATTGGATTAGAAGCAGCAGCTAGCATAGGTGTGCAAAAATTAGAGGTATATGGAGATTCCAGTTTAATTATAAATCACATACTGAAAAAATGGAAAATAAAGAACTCCACAATGATATTATACCAAGCAACTTGTTTCACAGTTCAGACAGACAGACAGTTGGTTAGAGCTGAGGACAGTTTATACCCATTTAAATGACATATATTTGTAATATACCTGCTTGGAAACCCATAGCACTCTTTTCTGCACAATATCTAGCATATATCGACAAACAAAGTATCCACAATACTTGGTGTATGCTGGTTGATGAGGACACTATGATAATGCAAACAATTAATCATTAACAAGATATTAGATTTTAGGATTAAACTGCATAATATTATTTGCTATAAAACTTTAGATAACTTACTTGTGGTTGCTCCCACCTAATATATGCATTCTTTTTTATTTTCTTGATGTCCTTCCGATGGACCGAACTGAATTTTTTTATTCCTCTACACAATTACATGAAAATAGGAAAATTGTAATAGTTTCCAAATACACAATAAGAACAAAATAAGAAGTTAATGACAAAGTTATTGCAATTATACATACTCAGTGATGATCTTTTCAGCGAATGAGTTGATTTTATTTTCTGCTCCAAGTGGATCTAGCCAATACACCAACCCATTCCACGGACTAATAACAGCTAACATCCAATGCATACTAAACCAGCAACAAGGCACTTTTAGAAGGAATAATGGATAAGAAAAACAACAAAATGTAAAAGGGGGCAGAAACTGTTTAACATAGCAATGTTGCCCTTACTTTGTTTGCTTTAAGAGGAATTTATTAGTAAAAATAGCATAGCATGGCAATATAGATGCAATCAAGTTAAGAAAATTGAAATTACATATATTAAAGCATAAATAATGAACAAGAATAACAATCAAAGTAACATAATTACATAACAAAGGAACTATACTTACTTGTCATTAAAAGGAGCAAAGAATAGCTGATTATAGTTCTTCCCCTCATTGCACCCAAAAACACGAGCTAGATAGTTAGATCGAACTTTCTCGTTTGTCATTGGTGTTAAAGGCGATAGAACATTAGAGTGACAAAACCCATACATTCCCGAGATACCTTCTTTGTGACAATGTTCTTTCAAGATCCTTATCCCATCAAAAGTTGTAAATATATAAGAGAATGGACCAAAAATTTTCCACATTGTAATTAGAAACTAAATTGGAGGTGAACTTACTTCATGAATATATTCATTTTCAATTCTCCAACCTCCCTTAGGAAACACCAATCAAGCAAGTCTTCGTAATCAAGTGAAACATTTAACCCATTTTCATTAAGAAACATGCTCTCTAGAATAGTGATAGAGATGGTATCGCCGGTTTTTTGCATCCCCATAGCTTTTTTTCTCATGACACGCATCAAAGTAGATGTCACCTTCTCCCGATCCTTGTCGGTAATAACATACTTACGAGTTGTTGATGCCTGGGAGGATGTAGATTGTGGGGATGGTGTGGTCACATCAACTTCTTTATCTGATTGGTTGTTCGCCTTTATAATATGTTTTCACATGAAAAATAAAACAAGACTATCATCAAAAATGCAAGGAACAACACACCAAAAACTAAGAGGGCATAGGAACCGAAAAACCAAGCTGCTGGCGCTGCTAGGCAGGGCTGCTGCCGGTACCACATCAGTCAGTAAATTAAAGAAAAAAATATGAAGAAGCTTAAAGACAGTAGCGGACAGAAGCTTAAAAACAAGGAAGAATACTACCTTTTTGGGGAAAATCAAATGATTAGGCCAAGCTGTATAAGATCTCTTAGCATGACATACAAAAAGCAATTCATCGTTTGGGCATGGCAGAGGAGCAGTTGGCACAATATCGTCTGTAATGGTGACTCGACGATGACCAGGGGGCAACGATGTGTTATGATTGCCAAGAACTTCGGTGCTGCTTTCTGTGAGGACTTTTCCGTTAGCAACAACTTGTAGAGATTTGTCGCTTCCCTCAATTGCCAAGCAACAATCACTCCATCCCTAAAAATGAGCACACAAGTGTTGTCACAACATAGTATATGGTGTAGACTCGGTGGTTCAATGCAAATTCATGTATAAGTTTTGATCTTCAGGTCAGTTATGAAATTATCGGTTCTAAAATTCAGTTCATATCTACAGTTCTGAACTTCAATTTCTGATGATTATGCTAGATTTCAGATTCTGATTAGGAAGGACATAACCTCATAATATGTGCAGATATAAGGTTACTTCTAATACCATTAAAGCTACATAGCTAAAATTTCACATAAACATATGACATTATAACCTCAATGTCACCACCAAAAACACCTTGCTGAGCACCACCAACCATTAATGCTCTCAATTGCTCTTGGTTCAAGCATGACATTATGAATGACACTATAAAATTCTGCTGCTTCATCATAGATGCCATCTTTGAGTTTATCGCATTCATTTTAGCATTGACTTCGCTAGGTGCAGGTGGTTTGTTGAACCCAAAGTACTCTGTGTTAGTTACTCCAGATCAAACACCCCTAACAGAACCACCCCGTTCTGGCTTGTCCAACGCTCTTGCTAAGATGTCATCTCTACCTGTAACATGTATTTCACCTTTTTGAACTTGCGTCTCCAACTTAATCTGGAAATTATCAAAAAAAAATTATATCAGTGCCCAAATAATAATCTTAGTGACTGAAAACACCTAAAACAAATGCAAATATATCTTACTATTGCATCATGGATTTCCTTATCTGCAGGATTATCAAAAGTTAAAACTCCATTCTTCACATGAGAATGAGCTTTAATCCAAGTCAAATGCCGAGGCACGTATGAAACATGTACTCCTTGCTTCTCCAGCTCTTTTTCCTACCATTGCAAATAAAATAGAAAATATAGCTGAAACATAAAGAATTTCAAATTTTCTAAAATTATCAATTGAGTTCTCTATATATTCTTTTATTAAATTATCATGAAAGAGTATGGTGAGGAATGAGCACTATTAAGCTAAGCAGCGAGGCAAAGGTAAAAACAGAACACCAGGATTATTATTTAGTTAGAACAGCTAGTATTAAGTTTATTCGAAGTAAAAAACAGAAGGTTACAACAATAAGAACACCACTAATACCACATAGTAGTTACAAAATGTTTAGCATATACTTACAATTGTTTCTTCAAAATATTGATAGCCAAGTCTCCCACCTCGATATTTTGAGGTCCTCTTCTTCGAACTTTCACGATTTCTTTTACTCAATTTCTGCAATAATTATATTTAATATCAGAGTTAATCCACACAAATTTTAAATGTACACAAAAAAATAAAGATAAAACAAATGCCAACGTAATGAACTTGCACCTTGAAGTCCCTAGAATTACAAGCCTGAATGAATTTTTCCCAATCATCTTTAGATATGAAAGGATATTTCAATGGTGGAGAATCATTGATTGTTCCATCTTTCAGGTACAAACACTTGAGCCTTAATCTAGTCTTGAAATTTCTCCATCGAACACAAGCTTGTTTCATAATCCAACCTTTGCGATCCTCAAGGATATGAAACCCCCTCTATATCCAAAAGAAATCCATATATTCGTCACATTTAAAAGTATCGATACATAATCGAGTTTCACTTCCTTTAAAACATAAAAACATTATTTACATACCGAAATATTGTCATACAAATCATCAAGAAGTGCTTTTGGCAGGTCTGACCACTTTCTGTAGGTGATGCTCACTTTTTCACGGACAACTACACCAATGTAGCTGGAGAAATGACCTCTATGAACACCGATAGGGATTCTCCGAGTTGTATGCCATTGTAAAGGGATTTTTGTGCCAACCTGAATAGCTCTCACAACCATTCTGAGCAAAGTACGACCTCTTTCTTCCTCGCATTCAGAATTGTCCGTTGCGTGCACTTGCGATTTCTTTCGAGCCATCCTGCTACTACACAGAAGGTCAAAATTTAGAGTGACATGAGTAGTTAATTTCATAACAAAAAAACTCAATTCCAAAAAGTAAACATAGCATCTATAATCATCGCATTGTATGCTATTTACGACGTGGCATCGGACCGTATAAAATAAAAAGAAAAAAATTCCAATCACAACAAAGTTCAGATAAATGATGATAATCAAAGCCAAACACAATTACACAATAGCAAATAAAAAGAAAAAAATGGGCATACATTATAGCAAATATTTTATTCAACTTTTAAAAAATCCAAACTTTCGCGGGAAAATCAAAATCCAATAACTCATTACTGTATAAACAAAAACAGGATTCATATATGAACAAGATGGGCAGATTACTATAACAATAGAACATCGTAGCAAACAATCAATAAACACAATTACACGATGCATATTCAAAATAATATCTACATAAAACAAACAAAATAAATATGATACCTAGCTTAGTTGCGGTGACCCTAATAGGGCTGGTTAGGGTTTTCCGTCTGGTCTTGTTGGCAGTGGTTGGCCGGAGGTAGAATGCATCAGTAGTCTATTGTGGTCTTGTGGAGGCTAGCAAAGTTGTGCGAATAGCTAGGGAAGTAGTACTAAAATTGAGAATTCAATGCCCAAAACCCGTGCGACCCTATGTGGTGCTAGTAGCGCAGTAGGCGACTGTAGGCGGTGTTTTCCGGCTAGTCGTGCGACCCTAGTGGTGGAGCGATTGCAAGAGTCGCGGTAAGGGTTTGTGCAATAGATGAAAGGTTTGAAATTGGGTTCTAAACTTCAAAAGATTGTAATAAATTTCATATAATGGGTTTGGAAATGAAAATGGAGGAAGATGAAAATGGAAAAGGTGGAAAACGAAGGTGGAAACAATGGCGGAAGAATCGAAGTCGGAGTTCGATGGTGCGCCGCTGCTGCTGCAAAATTATTTGTTTTGGGGGAAAATGAAAATTAAATTAATTAATTGGTTCCAACCCAAAAAAAAAAGAAAATTAATTGAATTGGGAATGTGTTGACCATCTTGACTAATAATGTAGAGAGTAGAGACCATATTAGACTTTTCACCGGTCTCTCCTTTGTTTTTTTTTTTTTAAAAAAAATTATTATATGTATTTTAAAAAAAGAGACCACTTATGTAGAAAATTGGTCTCTGTCGTTTTAAATTAAAATTTTGAAAAACTACAAGAGACCTATTATTTCAAATAAGTGGTCTCTCGAAATATCAAAGAGACCACATATTTAGAATATTTGGTCTCTTGATACTAAGAGACTACCTATTTAATTAAATGGTCTCTAACTTGTGGTCTCTTTGGCCAATTTTGTAGTAGTGACAACTAGGTAAAGTCTAAACACCCCCCGTTAACCCTTCAATATGTAAGAATCTGATGCAGCTACTCTCCGTCAGCAATTGGAGACCGCCCAGAGCAATCGTTGTCGACAGCCAAGGCAGTTAGATCTGATCCCCATGATGCCGCCGCTGGATGTCATTGAGTCTCCACATGACACTGATACCGAATCCAGTGACGGAGATATGAACTTGGACCCTCCAATCAGGAATCCCGGGCAAAGGATTACTCGAACTTCAGGAGACGACCAAGGTTACCCGCAGCCGGACCATACGGAAATCCTGCTCCAGAGGTTGGCTGCCTTAGAAAAGCAGAACTCCAGGGTGCTTTCGATGATGAAGAAGATGCCCGGCGTGCCGATCCTCGTTCAGCATGAAGCTCTAGATGGATTCGCAGCGACCCCGTTTTGCGACGAGCTGGCCATAGCCCGGATTCCCAGAAGGCTATCGCTCCCGACGTTCACGTTGCTCTATGATGGAACGACCTGTCCCGAGCAGCTTGTCGAGTACTATAAGCAACGGATGTGGCAAGCTTCGATCCCGTTCGAGTGCTGGGAAGCATGCATGTGCAAATCGTTTGGCGCGACGCTGACAGGCCCCGCCCTTAAGTGGCTCGGCAAAATCGAACCAGGTAGTATAACTAGTTTTTCTATGTTAGTTAACAAATTCTATTCCCATTTTGAAAGTAGCAGGCAATTCGACAAGCAGACGAGCGATCTATATCGGATCGTCTAGGGTCCCAAGGAGACCATCAGAACTTATTGGTCTCAATTCAACAAGGAGAAAGTCTAAATCAAGAATGTCGACAATAGGACTGCCGTTGAAGCCTTCCTCCGCGAATTGCATACAGACTCGGACCTGTACAAAGATATGGTCAAGTATCCCTGCTCAACATTTGAAGAAGACCGGACCAGAGCCGTGGCTAAAATGCGCTTCGACGAAGATATCGCCAATCGCAGCTCCTACCCGAGTTCAAGAAGTTCGTCCGATTGAAAGGCCCCAACCCAAGGGGATCATGGCGACACTAGCCTTACGAGGCATCAGGTAAATCACGCTCTGTTAATGCTGTGTAGGTCGAAGATATCCTCGACACCCCGCAATACCCCAAAATATCGGAGTATGGCTTCGACAAGAATATTGTAGCAGTGGTAAAAGAGTTGGAGCCCCTGGGAAGTAAAGTGCGCTGGCCGTCGAAGAGCAACAAGCCAAAGTCGGAGAAAGATATGGACAAATGGTGTAAGTTCCATAGCGATCATGGCCATAAGACGGAAGATTGCTACGCCCTGCGAAGAGAGGTCGCCTTCCAGTTAAAGAGAGGCAACCTCAAGCATCTATTAGGGAAAAAGAAAAGCAATGAAGCAAGTCATCATCAGCTAGAAGCGACGACAGCCGGACCTCCGAAGCCTCCTGTACCTAAGGTAATAGTTAATGTTATCACTGGTGGTTCCGATATTTGTGGACTAACCTATTCTGCAGCAAAGAGGATCGCAAAGTTGACAATAGATAATGAAGATGTCCCGGAAGAAATCAGAGACCCCCTGGAAAAGAAGCTGGAGGCAACGTCAATTACCTTCGATGATGACAACGTCAACAACATCAATAGAGAGCATGAGGACTCTTTGGTAATTTCTCTGGTCGTCGGGAATTGTCTGCTTTGAAGGGTGTTGGTCGATGGAGGAAGCTCCGCAAATGTCCTGTTCAGAAGAGCCATGGAAGATATAGGGTTGAAAGATAGTGACATCACCAGAAGGTCGACGGCTCTGGTCGGTTTCAGTGGAGAAAGCATGTCAACTCTCGGAGACATAACCCTTCCAACCTATGCAGGAGGCCTAAACCCTCAAACCAAATTCAATATCGTCGACTGCCCGTCAGCCTATAATGTCATACTAGGACGACCCTGGATCCTCCGATTGAAAGCCATTCCTTCTACGAACCACCAATCAATCAAATTTCCCACCCCATGGGGAGTCCAAGAAATTAAAGGAGAACCTCGTGAAGCCAAACACTACTACAAAACAACCATTAAACCAACCATGAGAACCGCATAGCAATTAGGCCCGACACCAGACAATCCCAACGACCTCGAAATTGACGAGATACCTTTAGATCACAAAAAGCCAGATTAAGCCGTCCGTGTCGGAGCCAACTTAACACTTGAACTCAAAAATTCCATCCTAGCCTTTCTCCGAGAAAACAAAGATTGTTTTGCCTGGTCTCACAAGGACGTGACTGGTATAGACCCGAGCATCATCTCGCATAAGCTGAACGTCGACCCAAATCATAAGCCCGTCAAGAAGAAGTGTCGGAAGTTTGCTCCGGAGTGAAATAAAATCATCAACGACGAAGTACAGCAGCTGATCGATACTTGAAAGATAAGAGAAGTCAAGTATCCAGATTGGCTCGCAAATGGTGTCGTCGTCAATAAAAAGAACGGCGAGTGGAGAGTGTGCATCGACTTCACCAATCTCAACAAAGCATGCCCTAAAGATCCGTTCCCGCTCCCGCACATCGACGCCATGGTAGACGCGACAGCAGGTTACGAGCTCTTATTACGAAAAAATGCAGGTTATAAAGTTATGCCATTCGGACTAAAAAATGCAGGTTCGATGTACCAGAGGCTAGTCAACAGGATGTTCAAAGACCATCTAGGAGATACAATGGAGGTATACATCGACGATATGCTGGTGAAATCTAAGAAGTCGAAGGACCACGTCGATCACATCCGTAAGACCTTTGAGGTATTGCGAAAATATGGTATGAAACTTAACCCTACTAAATGCTCGTTTGGAGTGTCTGCTTGAAAATTTTTGGGCTACGTAGTAACATAAAGGGGAATTGAGGCCAGCCCTGACCAAGTCAGAGCCCTAAAAAATATTCAATCCCCCTGAAATGTTAAAGATACCTTGACAGGACGAGTGGCAGCATTAAATCGCTTCATCTCTCGATCGTCACTTTACTCCTATCCTATCAACAAACCCTTAATGGACAAATCATTAGGGAGGGAGAAGACTACCCATGCTATGACTTTCCCGAACCATTGGTTTTGGAAGGAATCAAGAAGCCTGGATTCGAAATATTTCACAATTGCTACTTCTTGGATGACGATTTTAGTATCGTTAAATCAAAGTAGCCAACTCCAGGGTGCTATGATAGGCAAGCATTCAACTTGCTATTTGGACTAGAGCAAAATCATGTCGCTACAATGACTAATCAAAATGCCATCCAGGATGAAGCTTTTGACCCAAATATATTAATCAACCCTTCTAATGAAACCTTGGAGCATGGATGGAGGAAATCTTTCATATGGACCAATCACAAAGGCGATAGGCTGGTAATCGTCACAGGCGAAGGGAAGATGTTTGAAGAATTGGACGACGAATCTATTATAGACTCTAGGGAAGCTGAAAATTTAGGCCTTGTGGCCATTAATGAGTCTTTATTTTCTAGTTCTAAGGATGAAGATCCCAAAAAGGATTCTTCTCTTAATGTACTTTCTTTTGATTCGAATAAGATGAGCTCTATCTCCGAGTATATGCCTTCTTTTGAATCTTTTGAATGCTATAATAATCAATCTAATGAAGATGATAACATTAATAAGTTGGTTGAACTAATGAATGAACGAAAACAAAAGAACCTTATCATTGAAGAAACTGAAACAATCAATATGGGAACTAATGAAAACAAAAGAGAAGTCAAAATTGGCTTAACTCTAAATCCGGAAGAGCGATCGACCCTCATATCGATGCTCAAAGAATTCAAACACGTGTTTGCTTGGTCATACAAGGACATGCCTGGAATAGATAGGGAAATCGCGGAACATACCATTCCCTAGAACCCTACCTCTAAACCAGTAAAACAAAAACTTCGACGAATGAAACCTAACGTCGCACTAAAAATAAAAGAAGAAGTACAAAAACAATTGGACGCAGGTTTCATTCGCGTATGTAATTACCCATAATGGGTAGCGAACATCGTCCCAGTCCCTTAAAAGGATGGACGAGTTTGCATGTGTGTCGACTTTAGGGACCTTAATAAGGCTAGCCCTAAAGACGATTTTCCTCTACCACATATTGATATATTGGTAGATAACACGGCTGAACATGCGATGTTATCCTTTAAGGATGGATACGCAGGTTACAACCAAATTTTAACGGCAAAAGAAGACGAAGAAAAGACATGCTTTATTACCCCTTGGGGAACGTATTGCTATACAGTCATGCCATTTGGTTTAAAAAATGCAGGAGCTACATACCAAAGAACGACTACGACTCTCTTGCATGATATGATGCATAAAGAAATAGAAGTGTATGTGGATGATATGATCGTAAAGTCCAAAGATAGAATGAGACATATAAAAGATTTACGCAAATTTTTCACTCGCATAAAAGATTATAACATGCGATTAAATTCTCAAAAATGCGCCTTCGGGGTAACTTCTGGCAAGTTACTCGGATACGTAGTAAGCACTCGCGGTATTGAGATTGATCCCTCTAAAATAAAGGCAATTGTTGACATGCCCCCCCCTCAAACAGAAAAAGAAATTAGGAGGTTTCTTGGCAAATTGCAATACATTAGTCAATTTATTAACAAATTGACTATGACTTGTAAGCCAATATTC